TATTATTATTATTATTATTATTATTATTATTATTATTATTATTATTATTATTATTATTATTATTATTATTATTAATTTTCATTCCCAAAATCATATAATTGTGTATACGATTTAATTCTTCAATAATGGATATATAGGTAAAAGTGTTTTTGATTAGATACTCTCAAACTGCGAGAGCAATTCGTAAGTGCAAAATATATTATATTGCATTGAAATTATTTCAATATAACCTAATTTGAATCACTCTTTTAGGCAGTGATAATTCTACGCTTATTGATATGACTTTAGTCCGGTTAATCCATCTTCTTTCACACCATCCTGACTTCTCCCTTGAACCTGCAAGCCTTCGTGAATTCAGCGTGTAGGACATTCGTGTTAATTGTCGTTGAGATCTTGAAGCGATTCTTACTATAATTCTGTATTTTCAGATATATTAACTTCTTTTTGGACACAATTGCAAATCGAGAAAACGTACAATTTTTATTCCACATTGCCACACGATTAAAACAAGTTCGTGATGCCCAATCTCCGGATAAATGCGAGGTATTCTGTCCATATAAAGGTTACTGGCTGTAATAAAATATTTAGTGTTCATGATATTAATATAAATAACGATTGCCTAGAATATATATACGTTAAGCGATTTAACTCAGCACCTTGTCCAAGCTAAATGCAAAGCCCATTCGTGGCCATTAGCTCCATTTCCTGGTCAATCAAACCTTCCTCCGGAATTATTCAAAAGTATACCTAATGCTGAGATGGCGTCTGAGGTTAGTATTGATTTATTTTATATGACTTTATCAAGTCAATGTAAATGATTCCTTGATGGATCATTCGTCTTTAACACTTATCTATATTCTTATTTGTCATTTTTATGTAGATCATGAAAAAAAATTATATTCCGAATGAATTCTTGAAAGAGCTAGAAAAAGCTCATGGATCTTCTCAAAGTAAAGGCGAAAAGGTTCGTTGATTGTGTTACCATAATTTTGCAAACGCTATAATTATTGTTTATGAAATGCTAAAAATTAAATTTTCATAAGGCGAACAAAAAAGGTCGTCCAAAGTCTACCACTCAAACGCCCAGGAAGAAACGTAAAGTAAATGCAGAATCGTCAGAGAATTCACAGGCAACTACCAGAACGTAAGCTGATATTTTCTTTTTGTTTCCAGGACAAAAACTTTGGTATCTAGTTAATCTGTTTGAGCCGGTTAAATGTCTTTATTAAATATCATCTTTATTTTCTTCATAGACTTGCTCCAAGAGCTGCTAAATCTAAGGTTCAATCGATGGCTATCGATTCTGATAGTAGCGAAAATGAGGATATAGATGAAGATACAGACGATTCATAAAGTTGTTAATTTGAGTTTGGAAACGCTCTTCTGTATATAATAAACTCGTAAATTGTATTTTCTATATATGATTTTTTAATAAACAATTAATAGAACATAATAATCTTTATTTTATATAGCATATATTTAATATTCTTAACTGTTAACGTTTCCTTGCTTAGTACGTACGTACGTAAAAAATAACACGTGATTCCTTATTAAAGTGCGGCATTCGATGTACATATGCGGATTAATTAGTGATTTTTGACCCGTGGCAACCCGGGTGAAAGGGATGTTAAAAGTTCGGTTCGACTCGACTCCATGAGTCGAGTCAGACAGACTTGAACTGAGTTCTAATAGTCATGCAATATTAAATATCAGAGACTATGACGATAACGATAGATAATTGATAACAGATAATAACTATTTAAAAAATAGAATTTATGACCGATAATTTATATTCTATTAATAATTTTTGTCTATTCTAAAGTTCCTGCTTCTAACCAACTTCTTAAAAGCAATAAAGCTTTGACTGTTTGATTTAATGGACAGTTTCTTGTAGGCTTGATAATTTTCTTTGCCACAGACAATGCATGTTTAGAGGCAATGCTAGTAGTTTGTAGAGAAAGAAAGTTTGCTGCCAGAAGTGCCAAGGTTGGATACTGATAGGTGTTATTTTTTCACTACATAAGTGTGTTGATCCCTAGCTTACTGGGTAAAGCAAGGTATATGTTTAGCTTACTTACTGACACCTTTTCATTTTTTTTGCTAGCCACTATTTGTCAAAAAAATTTTAGAGAATCTTCAATTTGAAGTATTAGATCTGGCTATTTTAGATTAAATTGTAAGATGATCACATGCATTTCAAGAATAGCTAATTTTTGATTACCTTTATTGTTAAAGATTTCTAACTTTGATGATGAATTGAGTAAAATATACATAGAGTAAGATTTCATAAGGTTGTACATATACTCTCTTTAACACATTCCTTATTGCCTTTGCTGCTTCATTAAGAACATATTGATTAAGGTGTAATTAGAATTAATACCTCTATCTGGATTTATATATCTGGATATATACTGTGTTATGTGATATAATGTGATATAATGTTTTTATATCTGAATATAAATATATTCAGATATCCAGATTTATACTATGATAAAACCAGATTAATCTGGATATAAAAAATATATTCAAGAGGTGTGGTGACTTAGTGTAGTGGTCTAGTTGTCACTCTTTTCAAGTGGCAGATTTAGAGTTCAAATCCCACGGATGATGATATTTGAAAAATAGGCTTGTGTTTCGGTTGACAGCTATGCTTATCAGTTGGATCTAATCTGTAATTTCGGTCACACCATCTAGTAATGGGAGCAATGATGCAATAAATCTGAGGAACTGGTATAACCAAAAACTCATTTGGGAAGTTTCGAGCTAGGAATAATAGTGATCTTCGATAGTATTACAAGAGGGCTGAATTCGAACCGGGACCTGAGATCAGAGAACTAAACGCAGGGTTGGCAATGGACTATGTCCAGTAAAAATAATTTATCAATGGACATAAATGGATCAATGAATATATTCTATTGATCATTGGTCTATTAGTTCATTAGTTTTTGTGTTTAAGCGTATAAGATCATTATATAATGTGAATTCTAAATTAGATTATCTAATTTTGATATATATATTTATTAATTGTTAATCAAGATAAAAACCTGTAACTTGCATAACTACCACTTTAATAAAAGTTTTATACAAAAAATACATACTTTATTTTTATATTATTATACGTATCATTATGTTTAAAGCTACTAACTTAAAAAGTAAAGTAATTAAATTCATAGTCATGTATAGATTCCGAATATAAAAAAAATCATAATACCAAAATAAGTAAGATTGTACAAAGATGCATAAATTTAATTAAACCTTCGATATGAATTTAAATAAACGTATTGCTGCTCAAAATATTATAGTAATTAAATGTCTTATATAATAGCAAAAATATAAACACATTATTTTGTTTCTGTATTCTCAATTTTCTCAGTTCAAAGCTACTAATCTAAAAAGTAAAGTAATTAAATTCATAGTCATGTATAGATTCTAAATGTAAAGAGTATAATAGTACCAAAAATAGTAGGGCTAGATCAAAGGCTATGCATTTAAATTAAATTTTTAAAATCTTTAATTCACATGAAAAAAAAAATAGTACAAATAGAATCAAGTAAAAGAAAAAGATAGTTAGTACAGATAGAATTAAGAAAAAAGAAAAAAAAATTAGCTTCTAAGCCCCAATTAATATGAAGATCGAAATTCTTTATTGAATTCACAATATAAGTTAGACTAGAATAAAATTAGATAGAACGTAAAAAAAAATTACAAATGTATAAGAATTTGAACAATAAAAATATCTTAAATATGAATTATTTATAATTTATAATTTTTTTTAAAGTTTACAAAAAGTTTAATTTCAGATATTACTTTTTCTTTACATATTTACTTATTATTATTCCTTGTTTGTTATAAAAGTTTTTTTCTAGTAGTGTATAATTTTTATCTGTAAGAAGATGAACCCTTTTCCAGAAATGATGTTAGCTAGTTCTACATCTCAACAAACTAAAAAAAAACATGCTAGAGAAAAATGTAGACACTACCTTTCAGATCATATTATTATAACCAATGAATATGTTAATCTACAAAAGCCCAATAACAAATATTGTTTTTGTTTGGCTTGTCATGATTTAAATTTTGAAAAAGTTAAAATCATTAATAGAAAAAAATTAGTAAAAAATTATCTTAAAAATTGTACACATTTTATACATAAAGTTGGTGAAAGAGAACAAGCTGATAATATTTTAAATAATGAATCTTTAAAAAAGTTGCGATTAAATAATGAAGAAGGTAAATTGTATATATATTCTATACTATGTAATATTTATTTTTTCAATAATATAATATAAACAATACCTATTTTAGAATCTTCGGATGAAGATGATAATACTTCAAAAGTTGAAAATAAAAACCTAGACCAATTTATTACTCATACACCAACTTTTTTAGAGCAATCTCAATTTGAAGATCAAATTTTAAATATTACAATAACAAATGGTTGGTCATTTCGATGGGTAGAAGACAAAAGTGTTATTGCACATTATCGTTGGTTAAATCCTCACTTAGTATTACCTAGTAGAAAACAGTTAGCTAGGCAAATTTTAAAATCAGCAACTGAAACTAATAAATTGCATATACAAAATAAAGCATGTAATGACCCACATGGAATTATGATTGTCTTTGATGGATAGAAGAATGTAGTAAATCAAAAAATATTAGGTTCAGTATTAATTACATCAAATAGCGAAGCTTTAATATGGAATATAAGTGATATTAGTAGGCAAAGAAAAAAATATGAAAACATTATAAAAATTACAGAAGAAATTTTCAAAGAAATTAATGAATTAGAGATTAAAATAAATGGACTTGTAACAGATAGCAATGCAGCTTATGTTGCTTCAAGGTAATATTAAACTTATTTATAAATATATATATTAAAATATAAATTAATTTTTTTTAATTATAAACATAGGCTTAGATTAAAATATCCTGATAAGATCTTTTTGCCATGTTACACTCATCAATTAAATTTATATATAGGAGAAATTTTCAAAGAATCTGATAATTTTAATATAGCAATGAAATCTGCAATTACTATTGTAGCTTATTTTAAAAATGCTAACCATTTTATTTTATTAGCAAGCTTCATGATGAGCAATATTCTTTATATAAATATTTTATTCATTAGTAATTCCTACAGAGACACGATGGAATAGCTATTTTTACTGTATTAACTCTTTGCTTAAATCAAAAGGCGCAATAAAAGTATACTTAATTTTTTATATTTATTTTTTTATAAATTTATAATATATACATAATTATATATTATATATTATATAGACACTCGTTGCTAAATTTGAATTTTTGGAAGCAATTTTAAATAATGAATCTTCAGGTCTTTATTTGCCTGAAAATATATACAAAATCATTAATAGTGATCTGTGATGGTTGCAAGTTCAAGAACTTTCTCAACTTCTCCTTCCATATTGTGCATGTCTCAACAAACTACAATATGACAAAGCACGATTATATGAAGTTCTTCTTATCTTTTAAAGTTATATAAAGATTATTCAAACAAAGATTTTACTACTTGTATGATTAATTGTTTGGAGCGCAGATGGAATTCTTGGGAACAGCCATTACTACTACTTTCATTTCTTCTTCACTCTAAATATGGCATGTCAATGTTTAATCCCATAAATGAACAGCTTTATTTTCAACTTAGTGATTGGTTAATATATTACTATTGTGCCTGGTTTAATACTGAACCTCTTACTCTATTACCTGAACTTGAGAAATATCGAAAAAGAGAAAAGCCATTTACAGAACATGTTGCCAACCAGTTTAATAATGATATTATGGGATACTGGGAATACTGTACCACTTCAGCAAAAGAATTAGGTAAATTGGCATGTTGTATCATTGGAATTTGTGTAAATTCCGCCTCTGTTGAAAGGCTCTTTTCATGTATAGGTTGGTTGCATAACAAGTCACGATCTCGATTAAAGGTTTGTTTAAATTTATTAGCTTTTCATTATTAGTATTAATATTAGATCTATCGCTATTATTTTTCAAAAATTTAGCCTCAAAAAGTGCTTCATATGAGCCAGCTTCATGCTACTATGAATCGAAATAATCGTTTAAAAGAAATTGAATTATCAATGAAACAATACAAGCAGAATAACCAATAGTCAATGAAAATATTAATAATGTGGCTGTAGTTGATAGCGATTCAGATGATGAAATAGAAGATAATGAACACATTATTAACGTGGAAAATTGGAATGAAATTATACAACGGTGGAATAATATGATCTCTGAAGAAGAGAAAGATGAAATCGATATTGCTTTAGGTGATAATAATTTAGAACAAATTATCAATGATACAGATCACCCGGCAATTAACAATGATGCAAAGTGGAAGCTGAAAACGTTGTTCAAGGATGATATTCCTACTCCAGCATTTATTTATGACTTATAATAATCATATAAGTATTATTATAAATGTGGTTTTATAATAAAAATTAAATACTTATCGTGTGTAAATTTTATATAAATATGCTTTAATAAATATATTTTCTAAGATGTGTCTAAGCTTTAGTATTATACGTATAAGTGTAAAAACAATTAATTAAAAAATTCCAAATAAGCTACTTAAGTTTTATATTCGTATTATTGTGTAAGTTTATAATTGGTACCATTATATAATGCTTATACAATTTAAAGTTACATAACGAGTATGAGAGTCAATTAAATCTGTAAATCGAGCAATTGATACTTATAAGCTGCTCAGGATCTCAATAAATATTTTTTCAATTTATCTATTAAATTACACGAATTTAATGAGCTTAAGACTTTATTCTATTAATTAAATGCAAATTGAAAGGTAAACTATCACGAATATAAATAGTTTATATTAAATATTTTTATGAAAAGATATTTATTGTATCAGACGATACACCAATAATCTTTTCTTAAACATGGTCAAATGAATACATGCAATTATTTTATTCTGATGACGAATCAAAAAACATGAGACCTTGGAGCAATACAGAGATTGCCTATTTTTCTATGCTATGTCAAAAACACGATCGTGACTGGAAACTAATATCAAGATTACTTGAAAGAACTCAAAAGAATGTCATAATAAGTAAGTGTTCGTTTATCTTTTATCGAATTAATGACATACTTGTAATTTTTCTATTTAACTTACTTATTAAGCAAACTTTTAGATATTCTGAACTTTATCCCGGTTTCAGATGCCAATATGTTAGAATAGTTCACCGTCGGGCATGATAATATTTTCCTCCCAATTACATCGGATTTAGAATCTTTTTGACTTATTTGGGAATGTTACCGACTTTATCTATTAATTGGGAGTTTTTTTTTATTTTATACATATAACCTTGGACTATATTCGCAATTATCGGCTTCTTTTACATGAATAATCAACATCGATTTGGCAAAAACAAAAGAGGTAATCTAAATTTATTAGTTCTTGCTATCTATATTAACATTATATTATATAATTAAAATCTCTTTTTGTGTTATCAATATATTACAATATGAGCATCATTAATTAAAACGGTAAAACACCTCATTTCACTGACAATTACTTACTGAAGTTCATTTCATGACTGTTTATTTTACCGAAGCTCGTTTTACAGACAAAGCAATTCTGGTCAATATCATTAGGGTTTGGTTAGAATTAGGGCTAAAGTTAGTGTAATTTATAAAAATAAACTTGTCTGTGAAATAAGCTTCGGTTAAATAGACTGTCAGTAAAATGAACTTGTCGATCGGTGAAATGTGGTGAATAATACGGACCCAATTAAGGGTAGCATTTTATTTGTAACAACTTAGTTTAACAAATTATGTCAGACATTAAAAAAAAATTACACTAGACATGTTTTTGATTGATGATGCTCACAAAATTATATACCGTATTACTGCGAAATAACGACCATGGGCGTTATGTCGAGATTCGGCCCGAATTAAGCTTAATTCAGGCCAGAATTCATAATTTCACCCTGCGCGTTATTTTGCAGTAATACGGTAATCTATATAGCTTATTGTCCATTGGTCCATTGAGTAAATACTTCTTCAATGGAGCTAATTTATTGGATCAATGGACCGGAGCTCCATTGGTAGCAATGGACAAATTTGCCAACCCTGCGGTATATGTGTCCAGATTTTACGGATCCCTATCATTTCCCCGACATTAATTTCCCAATAATCACTTCCCCGACAAATCATCTCCCCGACACAATCATTTCCCCGACATTAATTTCCCCAATAATCACTTCACCGACAAATCATCTCCCCGACACAATCATTTCCCCGACATTTATCTCCCCGACCCCGGCACGATCATTTCCCTGACAAATCGTTTCCCCGGCACAATTATTTCCCCGACATAATCATTTCCTCCGACAAATCATCTCCCCAACCATTCTTCACTCAGCACGTCTGATATTAACTCTAAGAGACACTGTCAGATAGGTAATTTACATTGGTGGCATAACTGTCAGATTACGGACGCGGTGGGTGAATAATGGTGGAAATAAAGGAAATAATTATGTCGGGGAGATGATTTGTCGGGGAAATGATTATGTCGGGGAAATGATTGTGTCGGTGATGATTTGTCGGGGAAATGATTGTGTCGGGAGATGATTTGTCGAGGAAGTGATTGTCGGGGAAATGATAGGGATTCGAATTTTACGGTACTACGAATTATTGTGGGTTTCAAATTATTGTAACCACCCATCTGACGATAAAGTTTCCTTAAATGGTTTATCTTTATTTATTTTATTTTATTTTATTTTACAAATTGCCACCACCCTAAAAATAAAATTTTCCAAGATTCCTCAATATATACTAATTTTTATAATAGTTAACATCTACGTATTTCTATTTTGGATCTAATTTGTTAGTTAAGGAAAAAGTATCTTAAATTAATACATGGCATCTCGGAATTTTATGCTTATTTTCACGTAACGTATTATTAATGAAGCTCAATAAATTTTCAGTGGGTTGTCTTTTGAAATGATTCTTTATTTCCAACTAAATATTATTAATATTAAAGTCTCGAATATGAGTGATAAAGTCATCTGATTTATACAATTTATACCTTATAAGGAAATAAAAAAATGCGGCGTTTATGTTACGTTGCCTACCTAATTTTAAAAGGTTGTATTAGGAAATTGAATTCACAAAGCCACATCATCCAAGAATTAAGGTAATATAACTAAAACATTCACTTTATAAATATATTCAACATTCTGCAGCAAAAATACTAACTTTAATCTCAAAATGATTCCTAAAGATAAATTTGGTTATATCGTTTCACTACAGTTGAATGGACTGCATGTATCGGATCGCACTTACATATGAATCTCATTAGTTCATTAAAGGAAAAAATATAATGAGGGATTGAAAATCATACGTATGTAGAATGGCTTAATAATTTTTTTCGTTTATTATTTTATTACTTAATTTATTCTATGGCCTTGACACAGGAACAGGTTCTAAATTTAGTTCTGCAATTTTCAAAAAGAGTAAAATCATAATAAATAAGAAAAGTATAAAAAGCATTTGATTTATCCAACGTTATTCCTTCAATTGCAATAAATCTTTTGACAATCAAATAATCCACATTTTTCTTGAATTATTAAAAAGTATCAATGCGTCAATTCTTTGCTATTTTGATATTTTTGACCCTCATCACATTTACTATATCCTTTCCATCACCAACTTTTCGACGTAACTCACACTCAGACTTTACTCAATGCGAAGGTACATTTCCAAACGAAATTACTACAGTTTTTTATGAACCTAATCCTGCAATCTCTGGAGAAAATATGACAGTCACTATCGCAGGAATAAATACAGTAACAGTTCAAGAAGGAGCTACATTAAACGTCACAGCATTGTACCAAGGAAAACAAGCATTTGTACATATTATGGATTTTTGTAAAGTATGGGTTGAAGTAAATGGTGATAAGTGTCCTGTTTCACCTGGAGATTTTAAGTATACTGTTACTATTCCTATTGAACCACACCAAGACGACCCTAAGAATACCACAATCGGTTACGATTATATATTTCAAAGTACGTATTATTATTATTATTATTTAAAAAGAAATTTTATAATATTATAATTAATAAAACCATAATTTATAATTTATATTATTTTTATTATTTTCATGATTAGTTTCTAATCCTGGAGAAGACTTGTCATGTATAAAAGGAAAGTTTTATGTTACTTATCCATAATTATTATTACTATATTATAACAGTATTTTATCGGTATTATGTGCTCTTTTGATTTTGTTTTCAATATGTTCAGAAGTCTATTTAAATATTAAATTATGAATTTATTATATAAATAAATAAAGTTGCATAACACATTAGCTTATTTTTAATATTGTCTGCTAAAAAAATATTTCTATTGAGCGCTTAGAAATTTTGCTTTTGATTGAGCCGTATTCAATTCAATCAAATAACAGCACGTATGTTTAAAGTAATAAACCATGTTTCGTTAAAGCAGTATAAAGGTTTAGCGGGACATAAATTATGCTAGCATTTTGTAAAAAAAAATTTTTTTTAGGACAATTTATGGCATTTACAAACCGGGTTTAAATCGCATCCAAAAAATTTCAGGACATACGATTTAATAATCACGATATATCAATTATCATAAGAAATTTATTAATGAAATTTTCATAAACGAAAGTATAATCAAAATAGCAAAATTTGATTGTATGCCAGTTCGGTGGTATGTTAGAGCTATTTTTATTTAAAACTTTGGAATACTAGTCTTCACTTTCTATTTGGCCTTTCTTTATTTCCTTGGTATATATTCGTAAAATTTCTTTTTGAATGAAAACTTTCACTGTGTGCTTCTTATAAAATTAGATTTAAATGTGTAATTCTTTAAACAATAAAGAACATTACTTTTTAAGAACGATTTAGCGTAGATTATAAGAAAAACTTTTTTTCATTTAAAGGAATTTTTTTATAAACCATATTGTACATGTTTATTATCTAACATATTTGTGTATATTATCATACTTCTAAAGCTGATGTTTCTTATATGCGTATTATACATATCGGTGGATTTACAGAATTGGTAGTATCAAAATTATTCGCAAAATTATCAAAATTTTATAGCAAATAATTTAAGGAGTAAATAGATACAATAACAGTGCTATTATATCTATTTACTCCTTAAATTATCTTTATATTTGTTTGCTACAAAATTTGGAGTTCATTTTGCGAATAATTTTAAGGATGCAACTTAGGATTAATTCAGGACTAATTCCATAAAATCCGCTGATATGATTAAGAAATTTGACGAGCTGTCATGTTAAAATTTTGAAATTTATAATTTGTAAACATTATACAGGAAAGTAAAATAATACGAGTATTTCTTTGAAAATAAAAATAACATGATTCTAGTAGGTATTTCCACACCCTTTGATTACGAGCATAATAAATAAAGTGTATAATAATACAGTAGTTACAGCTGGGTTATAATTTATAATTTCAAGGTCGTGGAAATACAAAAATTGGAGCAAATTACTTGGACTGTTTAATGCGTCAACAACCTGGCACACATTCAGGAATTGCCTATTAATATGGTTGAATTTTCTTTAGGTGGCGATTTAACCCCGGTTGCCTTTACACATTACTAAGAACTGGTGTGAAAAAGGTTAGGAATTCCTAATATTTGACTACAAAATGGAATTCTAAACTGACTCAATTCAATAAGTGGATTTAAAATTAAATTTTAATAATTATCAAATCAATAAATTAAATTTTTAAAAAAGTAACCGATAACAAAATCCATTAAATGCAACTATTAAAATTGCTGAAAATTCATTATTGGATCAAAAAAACATTTAGCATACAATTCTTAGATATATGACATTCTATGTAGTTTACTTAGTTCAAAATTATTGGATATGCTATATAATTAAATTTAAACTGTAAATTAAAGAATCAATTTAATATATATTGATAATTTATTGGTAGTTTTTTTAAACGATACTGGTACGTTTTACAACTATTCGTTAAAGAATTGAGCGATTTGCACAAGGCGAAGAGGTTTTTTCAACGCAGTTGTGACAAAATTAAATAAATTTCTTAATCGAAATCTAGGTGACTTAATGTCAATGACTAGCCTTTCAGATGGAGAATCTGTAACACTAGCTAAAATTTTCTTGAGGCCGAAACAATTTCCTGGATTGGATAATGTCCTTTAAAAGTTATAAGTGTGTTAAAGTTTCACAAATACAATTAGTATTACAAATGTAATATAAATCACTGTAAATATAAAAAAGCAAAATTGCCTTGCGGAAGTATCTGACATCTCAGTAATCATTAGTGTAACTTTGAAAGTATAACTAGAATATGTACAAATAGCTTTGCGATGTATTGTTGTTTAAATTGAATTCATGTATTTTTAATTTTAAAACTGAATATGTGCTATATGAACTTTTTGTTCGAAATTCTTTAACGATTTAAGTGAATTCAAATTTATTTCAACTAAAAGGTATTAGAACCAATTTAAGTTGATTCTAAAAATCCAATCTAACGATAAATAATAGAAGAATACCTGCCTTATACGATAGTAAAATTGTTTTTGCAAAAAAAAGGTCCTAAGCCGAATTTTGTTAACCGACTCCCATTTGCTTTCAATATCGCTACTAGTTTACGTATTATTATTTTTTTTTTCAAAAGAAGAATGAGTTATTCATGTGACCAGTACATTATTGAAGCTGATAAGCGTGCATTATTCACATAATGATAATGATTGAGATTTTTAAAGATCATTGCAGGTGCACTAATCAGAATTGATGTTTAATACATGTGTTTTAAATTATTTTAAATAAATTTGGGGTACCAAACATATTTAGGATGCCTTAAATGTTTTATGTTCTGAAAATATTCAGGTATTAATACAAATACAGATTGTCTATTAATAGACCGATTCTCGTAACATGCTATAACCTCAGTGAAGCAATTTAGTAGTGTATGTTTCATGATTTGTTTAGATCGAAGCGACTGGAGATAACGAGACATTAGTTGTACGTTGCATTAGTTTAGATTCGTTTAGGATAGCAAGCATGCTTGTTATTGATTATATGAAACGATAGATTAGGGTAGGAACGTATCATTGTTATTACATTCGCAGTAGATTACATTTTAAACACACACGGTTACACCAGATCTCAGCGAAATTTTTAGATTGATAACGCACCAAATGGTACTAATACAGTAAAGTCAGACCGTGATACAAACAGTGTGAAAAAAAAGATACGTAAAAAGGATTTTTTAAAGAATTAGGAATTTCCTCGTTACGCAGTAATCTCGATACGAAAATTTTTCCATTATATTATGTGCTTGTTATTCATCTTTTCATACAGAAGTCATTTTTATTATCGAAAAAAAACAAGTTCACTTCGATAGAAAAAAATATTACTAAATTGAAACCAGAAATTTTTTATATAAATCTGTTTCTAGTTGTAACAGATTCAAAAAAGAATAATTAAATCATCACAACACGATAACTTTTAAAACAAGTCGCACTTTAGAATATGAGCACAGTTGAGAAAAACCAAGATTTAGATAATGATAATAAAATTCGTGAATTTTGGATAAAGAATATTTGTAATCACGATAAACTCGCAAAAAAAACCAAAGAAATTTATGATTTCATTATTGTGGGTGCTGGTACTGCAGGATGTGTGCTTGCTAGAGAATTGATTCATTGTATTCCAAATATCAACGTCCTAGTATTGGAAGCTGGAGGTCCTGATACTTATTCTAATGGTATAATTAACTTGCCTTGTGCTTCTTTAAAGGTGATAACATCTATTGATAATGCTTTTATAAATTATATGATAACTATTATTTTTTTATATTAATTAATTTACTCTTATCGTTTTCTGCAACATAGGCCTTACGAATAAGTGAGATTGACTGGGGATATGTTACTCAAGAACAAAGAATGCCAAGCTCTGTAGACCCTACTAAAGAGATCTTAAAAAAGGAATCTCCTTATTTACGTGGAAAGGTTTGGGGAGGAAGTAGTTCTATGAATGCAATGATTTATATGTAAGGTTCATAAAGTTACAAATTTTATTGTATTTATTTATTATTGTTCGCTTTTTTAAATTTATATCCTTATTTTTTAGGCGAGGTCAGGCAAAAGGGTACAACGATTGGGCAGCTCAAGGCCCTGAATATAAGATTTGGGATTGGGATCATTGTTTAGAAGGTATGACTTTGTTAATTCATCTTAATTCGAATCATTTGATTTACTCAAAAAGTATATATATATATTTTCTTTAAAAGCATTTAAAGCAGTAGAAAAAAATTCACGAAAGAACCCTGACGAAAATTTTAAAAAATTCCATGGATTCGATGGTTTACTTCATGTACAAAACCATCAAAATGGGATATATGATATTATGTCAGGTGTGATTGATGCTGCAAAAAACTTTGGAATTCCCTATAACGACGATTTTAATGGCGAAAGACAAAATGGTGTTGGAATGTTCCAGGTGCCTTAATAATAAATTTTTTTTAGTTTAAACGTCAATTTTGCTTTGTAGTTTTTTTTTTTTTTTTAATATATAGGTTATAAATTATAGTTCACAATCAAGGATGGAAAAAGATGTTCCTTGGCTGATAGTTATCTAAAGGATGCATTAAAAAAAGTTGAATTACACCCAGATTCAAAATATGATAATTTCGGAAAGGTTGTAACAGTAGATGTTAGATCAATTGCTCATGTACTAGATATTATTTGGGATGAAGAGAATAAAGAAGAAAATATTGCAATCGGCGTAAGATACTTTTGTAATGGTACCGTACGTGAGGCTTTCATTGCTTTGAAAGGAGAAGTCATTCTTTGTGGTGGTGCTATTAATAGCCCTCAAGTAAGAATATAATGATAGTTAACCAACCATTATAATGATATATTACTGTATCATAAATCCTTCCTATTTTTATTTTTATTTTTTTTAAGATATTAATGCTTTCTGGCATTGGACCAAAAGAAAATCTTGAATCAAATAATATAAAAGTCCGTAAGGAACTACCAGTTGGAAGAAATTTATTAGATCATCCGTGTTGTTGTCTTGTTGCTAAATCGACTCCAAACGCACTCAATCATTGGAGTGGCGGATGTGAAATTGGAATAATACATAAAGCTAATGTTGAAGGGAAGATTCCTTGTAAAGATGACTTTTTTGATGAGAATCCTGACATTCAGATTATTGGTATGTTTTGATTAAAATATTAATTTGTATAATTATTATTTTTATTAATTGAATTAATATTATAAATAGCGACTACGTACCAAGATGATTTTTTAGATCCTTCAATAGAACTTTATAAAAAACATGATAAATTCGATGGGATTATTCTAATACCAGTTCTTAACAATCCATCAAGCGTTGGTTATCTAGAACTTAACAGCAATAATCCATTTGATCAACCAAAGATATATTTAAACTTTTTTGAAAAATCAGATGATATATATAGAATGATTAGTTCACTTAAATTATGTCGTGAAATACTTAAACAACCTCCACTAAGTACTGTTTATAATGTTAAAGAAATTGGTGTCA